TTGTTGCGTTTTGACGCTGAAGTGCTCTTCCCTCCTGACGTTTTACAGAGGCTGTTGCGGCCGCGCTTGTTGCCCCGCTGTTGTTGTTTCCTCCACAAGTTGATCGGATTGTAGAGATCCTCCCCCCCACAAGGGAAGCTGGCGCCTCTTTTCTCTCCGAGTCTTCATTCTGCCCAAAGTCCAGAAGTAAGTGCTCCTCAAGTCAGTGCACGTGTTTCGACCTCGAGCGACCGCTCCGTTGACGCCGGAGGTGAATCCGGCAGGACTACAGCCATCGACTGAAGTTTAAGCTCAACTGGCTATAACGGATGGTACAGAACAAGATGAAGCCTTGGTAGGGCCACGATCTGGATAATACAGAACATGGGGATACGGAGTTTACAGTCCCGGAGGATACAGAACAAGAAGGAGAAATGAAGGCTCTGATACAGAATGGAATACGCGAGAGAAATCGACGGAAGCTGATGAAGTAAAGAGCGAGAGTGACGACCCTGCGGATTATCGTGTAGATTTTGATGTCTTTGATAGCGACAACTTCATGGAGGGTCTCCGAAAAGAGCGATTGTTCGGCCCGACAGATGGTGATGATGTGAACGTGGTGGCTGGTCAAGATGCCAGCGACTGTCATTCAGACGCGGATAACGAAGACGTGATGAACGACAACGAAGTGGTCCTTGAAGTAGAAGGTGTAGAAGATCTAGAAGACGTGTCTTTGAATGATGACATCCCCGAGGAGGGACTCTTTGACCTGACTAGTGGTGATTTGCGAGACATCGCGGAGAATGGATGGATTACTTATGCCGAAGCGGAAAGTGGTAAGCCGTATGATACAGATTAGTGTGTGGTGCAATTGTACTTATTCTGGATGGTGTGTTTACTACAATAAATATTATAAAGATATAAATAAATGATGAAAAAATAAAATCAAAATAATTATTGATTTTTGGTTCAAAATAAATAGTTAAAAGATATAAATTAGAAAAATTTAAATTTAATAAAAAATCCCATATATGTGGAATAACATTTGTGAAAATTAAATTTATTATAAAAAAATTAAATATAATAAAAAAAATATAAAATTTTATAAAAAGAAAATTTTCAAATTTATATAAACCTTCTGATAAAAAAAACCAAATTAATAAAATACTTAATTGAATTACTATAAAAGTTGATATAAAAATTGCTATTAAAAAATTAGTAATAAAAATTTCAGTAATATTTGTAAAGATAAAATATTTTAACATATTTTTATTAAGTAAAAGCAAAAAGCCCGAATTACGATCGCGTCCGACGCGCATCGACGTTCCTTGCGCCGCTCTTCCTGCGTCCGCTAGAGCCCGAACCCGCTCAGACGCATCTGCATCTTCTCCCCAACACTAAATTCCATCTCTACATACCTGAATTATGTCGTTTGCGTCCTTCCCGGCCCCTCCGTCAGACGACGTCCAGCTGGACACACAGCTCTACACTATGATCGAACTCGAGGGCAATCGGTACCGTGCCTTCTTCGCCAAACTGTGCGGGGGTGATAACTCCTTAATCTCCCGTGACGCTGCGCTCGAGTTCTTTCGCAAGTCCAGTCTCAGTGAGGAGCAGGTGCAAGAGCTTTACACTCGTCTTAAGGAGCTGCATTTGCTCCGGGACAACGCTCACATGAACGAGACGGAGTTCGTCATGGGGATGCACTTCATTGTGTGCATGACTAAGCGTAACTTGGTCAAGATCCCGCCCAAATTTCCTGGCTACTTGTTCCCTTCACTGGACCTGACGCCTGAGAGGCAGCAGAGCTTCGACTTCCCGAGCCCCGAGGAGCACTCGTACACATCCGAGGCGTCCAGTGGCACCCCTCTCGTGCCTCCCCCTTCAACAAGGTTAATGGGGGCTATGGGGCCGACTATTTCTCAAATTGCGACGTCGCCGATGACCTCCGGAGCGCCATTAGTGGACACCAAGTCACTGAGAGCGAAGGCGGCCCCCATTGGCTAAAACAGATATTATGTGCTGTACTTACTGTATGTGGACTACACATCGTACTTAACTGCACCGTTTAAATTTCATTTTGCTCTCATTTTCAGCTGCGGTTCGCCACCTCACGCAAAGGGCGCTGCCTGTGTACACGTTAATTAGCACAATTAAAAGGCGACGATGAGCACACACGTACTATATCGTCGTAGGAGCTGGAGAAAAAAATTATAGGCCCTGGTGACTTATATTTCGGCCTCAATCGAAACTTTAGTACTTATTGAATTTAGAATGATGTTTTAGGCTTCGTAGTACTGCTGTACTAATTTAACTTAACAAAAATTATTTTTTTCTCTATTAAAAACGCTTTTTTCCCCCACCCCCCCTTTTGCATAGGGGGGCGCGCGCGCCCCCTTGTTTTATTTGAGAGGAGACCCCCCCCCCACAATTTTTTTCCGCGCCTTTAAAAAAAAAAAAAAACTGTTAATTATCTCTTTTAAAAGTGAAATTCTAAATAAGATCATGTGGTTACACCTGCACTCCGGAAAAGTATATCTCCTTGTATTGCGCGCGTAGTGTGCGACGTTAAGATATATGTGAACTTCCAAAAATATACGTTGTGTACATCAAACAATATACGTTGTGTACATCAAACAAAATGGGAACAGCGTTTGTGATTAAGTTGGCGCGGATGCACATGTCTAAGCAAGGACACGAAACACGAAGGAATACCGACCTACACTATGTACACGATGGGATAGAAGAGCAACACGAAGCACGGAAGGGCCATGGACGATGATAGAAAGACTTAGCCGATGCAAACCACC